CGTTACCTCCAGCAAACCACAGAACGCACGATTAGGCTGAAAGTCGACCCGATTCAAAAAATTCTCAAACATCTGGATAATTGTCCCGAAAAGGGCAAAAAAATAAAAAATATTACAGCTTTTCTTTACAGAAACATCAATCAGAAGCAGAATTTTTTTCTAGCAGCCTGCCAATATCAGAGATTAGGCCAATAAAATATTTTCATTTTTTTTTGGTCAACATCCACGGATAGGATATCAGAATCGTATTGGGACATCCCTAGTTTAGAAACTGTTTATTTCAGCATGAACAAGACGATGATCCAAAATAAAAAGCAGCATCTACAATGGAACAGATCACAGATAAACATATCCAGCTGTTAGAATGTTTCTATTTTGTTAAAAAGTTGAAAATATCCAATTCAGGATTGTGTCCCACCTTTTGTTGATCTTCATAAAGCATTTACGTTTTAAACCTTTTTGTTTGAATCTCAAAATAAAACAAAAGGTGGAAAAGTTTAAAGAGGCAAATACTTGAGAAAGGCTCTATATATCCGGAAGTTTATACGGCAGGTTTAACTTCACCAAAATGTTTTCAAATGCTGTCAAAATACGATACTGAATGTGGCTTTGATTTAAACACATTCCAGTAAAACACATAAAGCACGGTGATGGGAGTGTCAGGCTGTGGGAAGCTACAGGCGACTGAAAGAACCATGATGCCACATATGAAGCAGAAAGTGGGTCGCCATGCCACTTTCCACCATAATACCGACCCGACCTCCAGGACAAAGGGACGGAAGGCACTGGTGCAGGAAAGGCCAGGAGTGGCTCCACACCTGAACCCATTTGGGCTTAAACAGAACCAAAGTCTGTGCCGTCCACTGGCCCCATGGCATCATCATCATCACCACAGAGGAGGGTCCCAGAGGAAACCCTGAAGCCTCATGCTAGTTAAGACTACAACTCCCAGATTCTGATCCCACTAGAACTGCCACTGGCCGTCATTTTGATGGGTGACATCTTTCCCAATGAAACGCATGAATAGTGATGATGTCATAAACTCAAATGGTTCTAGTGTGCGATATAAACTCATTGTGAAAATGTAAACCTTAAAATATGTCTAATATATACTTTTCAAAAGCTGTATTATATGCTATATTTGTGGTCTACATTTGTATTCAAATAAATAAGACTGTTTTAATACACAGGTTCAAGGTTTGAAATTAAAATTTTATTTACAGAAATTTATTCCACCTGTACATTTCCCCTCCCTGGACTCTGGGAGAACGGGAGCACACAGCATAAATATGGGTCAATTGGAACAGAAGCGTACTGATGACATCACCACACGCTCGTCTAGAGCTGCATTTCACCTCCTGTTAATAATAGTCTCTAGATAATAATAAATTATGACTTTTTTCATTTTTTCATTTCTCCACAGCCTGACTCTGGGTCTCTAAGCAAGACCCCTAACCCCACATTGCTCCCCAAAGCAACGGGTTTAATGCAGAGAGGGAATTTCTCCATTGTGGGACAATAAAGGGATTCGCATTAAAAACCAAAATAAATAGTTTATCAAGATTATGCAAACTTAAATGTGACACTGTTACCATTAATTATAAAACAAAAAAAACTTACAACTCATATGAGTTCCCCTTTAAATCAGAGGACTATTGTTAACTTGGTAAAATAATTGTAAGTTTTTTTCTGTCGGGACATTTTTTGTTGACATTTATATCAAAGTATTCTGTATCAACCTGACGTCCTAAGGGATGGAAAAGATTGCTCTTCAATAGCAAAGGTCTTTTCTCTGACTGTCTCCATTATTTTCAGGCTTAGATAAAACCAAAGCGACTGAAAGCTGCCGGCTGCAGGTCATGGAGTAAGCCGTCTGTAACAGGAACATGACAGTCAGAACAGACTCACCAGTTCTACGCCTTGTGGGAACGGGCTGTCCTCCCAGTCTTTCTCAGGAAACCGCTGGAGAATGCGACCCTGACCCTCACCCTCCACTGCAGGGAGACAGAAGGAAGAAGTCAGTCTGTGTCGTCTACATTGTTTGTTGCTACAAATAAATTATTTCTACACGGTTTGCAACATTCAGCTCCGAATTTTCGGCATGTAAACAAGTGCTTATTTACATGGCCGGGCAGAAAAGGTCATGCATGTTTTCCCTGGAGTACAGTGTGTAAATATAAAGTTGGCTTGCAATCAAAGCCCAGAATGCAAGTTTGACTCATTAGATTATTATTGAAAATGAATTTATTTTGCTAATACAGCTGTAATCATTGAAGGCGTTTACTGAATACGGTGATCTGAACATATCAGGTCTGAAGTAATGAACGTGAAGGAGAGCGACGTTCCCTCTGAGAATAATGAGCGACACACAGCTCACATTCAATAACCATACGTCACATTTTACGGCACTTATTACGGTAAACAGCCTGACAGAGCAGCATGTCCACTGCTAGTACCAGTCTGCTCCATTCAGATTCATCGGCTGGGATTTCTGACGCCAGTTTAGCAGAGCGCTTGGCAAAGCAAACTCACGGTTTAGTGCAAACTGTTCCCACCAGGACTTAAACAACTCCGTACATCAGCCACGGCCACTTTTAAAGCGACACATGGAGTTAAAGCACCGAGCTATCTGTGGAAATATCTGCTACTGAATGAGGAACAGAAGACATCATTTAGATCCAGATCTTGTCAGCAGAACCGGAATGTTCCTGAAGTTCTGAATCTTTTGGCTAAATAAAGGCTTCACTGCACATCCAGTAAAACTTGACTGCATCGTGGATTTTCCATTTCTTTCTATATATTATGATCACACATTTAAAGCGGGAAACATAAGGTTCTATTGTGGAGGATTGGAGCTTCATTTACCAAATGAACTTGAACTAGTTCATTTATAGGTTTGCAATCTTAGTTCATTTTTGAAAAAGTGAACTATGAACGTGAGCGGGTTCATTTCCATCTGAGTGAACTTAACTTTGAGTTTGTTCTTTTTAACTCTAAACTGGAACAACATTGACTGTAATTCATTGGTTACAGGATTAAAAAGCGGAGAATACCCAGAGTGTATAGAAAACGGGTCCATGCCATTCCACCCATCCGTTTCTATTTGCATCTTTTCTAAGCAAAAACCAGGTTTTGTTGGTCCACTCTATAAAACCTGGAACTCAACGTTATTTCTGACATTTTGAATTGAAAAAGCTTCCTAAATGCGAAACCAAACATCTTCAAACTTGGAAACAAAGTCCAGTGGATTGTTTTTAACTTTTGTTTGGAATGACTCTGACCTGGATGACAAAGAATCTTCACCAGCAATCAACTATTTAACAAACAAAGGAGTCATTTGTGTCCCAGGATGTTAGGATAATGTCTAAAATGTAACAATATTGGAGGAAAATGGCAAAGAAGATTATGGTTAAAGTTAAAATCCTAGTTTGTTAACCATTAATGTCTGCATTATTCTGTCAGCTCCAGTTAAGCCGTCATTGAAAACAAACATAAGGAAGGAAACTACGGACTTTTAGCTTCCAACTAAACACACGCTAACATTTCAAATGGAAATCCATCGAAATATATCAGCCTTCCGAATGTCATAAGCCATCTGTTGCATCTCATGGATGTTGGCATCACGATTTTAATTTAATACCTACATTTCAGTTCAATTCAGTTTAATTATACAGCTCAAATTCACAGCACATGTCATCTCAAGGCACTTCAAGTTCACCAGATCATCCAGTCAGATTGATTCAAAGTTTTCTAAGGAAAACCAGCTGATTGCATCGACTCATTGACTCTTCAGCAATCCCTCACACTAAGCATGCTTGTAGCGACAGTGG